GTTTCCTTTCTTGTTTATGAGCTTGAAGCTACAGTCTTGGAGAGCATAAGCCAGATTGGCCAGGATAGGCCTAAGTAAAACCACAAGGAGGGCCAGGTGTGGGGAGTCTTCTACCTTACTTCTTATCCTCCTCCTTTTTTCCATGTTACTTTTTTTTTTTTTTACAGTTCATTCATTTTTATTGGAAAGTCAGATACACAGAGAGGAGGAGAGACAGAGAAACATCTTTCGTTCTTTGATTTACTCTCCAAGTGGCTGCAATGGCCAGAGCTGCGCCAATCCAAAGCCAGGAGCCAGGAATCTCTTCCAGGTCTCCCATGCAGGTGCAGGGTTCCAAGGCTTTGGATCATCCTGGACTGCTTTCCCAGGCCACAGGCAAGGAGCTGGAATGGGAAGTGGGGCTGCCAGGACACGAATTGGTACCCATATGGGATCCCAGCATATGCAAGGCAAGAACTTCAGCTGCTAAGCTACTGCACTGGGCCCATCTCTTTATATTAACAAAAATTCTAAAAGTAAGAACTAATACTATATTATTATCTGGTCTCTCAGGTTACTTGCATCTGTTACCTGTGGTTGTTGGAGGCACTATATAATGGTGTACTGCATGCACTTCTTGTTGGATTTCAGGGGACAGACTTACACTCGATCTTAACCAAAGGGCTGAGAAGTGATTACACAGCCACTTTTAAATATGCTGTCTCAGCTCATTTCTTTAGCAACATGAGTGGTTGCCAGGCTAGAGTGTAACAAGAAGCAGGAGAAGGCTTTCTAGCTGATCCAGGAAGCCCTACCCCGTGACTGGCTCCAAGTGCTTGAAGCACCTGCAGCAGCCAGCATTGCTGAACGGCACATGCACACAGGAGACTCCTGGCACCAGCCCCAGGGGTTTCGCAGCTGAGCTGTGAACTCCATGAACACATTCCGGCTTGTTGCTGGGCATCGGTAAATGCAGCAGCCTGATCATGGGGCATTAGGTAACCATGTGACCAGTGCCTGTAACCGGGTGTTATCTGATCCACCAAGCTACCAAGTCAGCTGACTTTAGTTGTGTGTGCGAGGCTCCATGCTAAACACTCTGCCTGTACATTTCCCTTTATCCTCACATAGAATTTCTGAGAGATTCTACTATTGTTCTTGCCATCATCTCTATGTCAGACGAGAAGACTGAAGCAGACACAGGATAAGTCATTTGCCCATGACCATATAGCTAATACATGGCAGAACTTGGCTAGAACTCAGTTTCTGTGGCTCCAAAGAACACATCTAGTTGCCCAGTTGTACAGTGTCCTCCAATGAAGAGGCAGTTGTCTGTATAGAAGTCGACATGAGCAAATAGATACTCAGAATTTGTGGTACACCCATTTGTACCATACCACCTTTCTTTCTTTTAAAGATTTGATTATTTTTATTGAAAAGACAGATTTACAGAGACAATGAGAAACAGAAAGAAAGATCTTTCACCCACTGGTTTATTCCTCAAGTGGCCAGAAGGGATGGAGCTGAGCCATCTTAAGCCAGGAGCCTCTTCTGGATCTTCCACATGGGTGCAGGGTCCCAAAGCCTTGCTTTCCTAGGCCATAAGCAGGGAGCTGGATGGAAAGTGAAGCAATCAAGACACAAACTGGTGCCCATATGGGTTGCTGGAATTTGCTGGTAGAAATTGAGTCTACTGAGCCCCTGCACTGGCCCTTGTAGTACCATTGGTTCCCTTGCCTACACCTCTGACCTTATGGGATGTTTCCCCAGTCCAATTGATTGAAAAATCAACACACTACAACAGCACCGGCCACAAAATCACAGCCTAACACAGGTGCTGTAGTTCTAAAAGTGAATTTTACAGCCAAAGTGGTGAGACAATGAGTTGACACTCTGCCGTGTCCATTTACCCCAAAGTGGCCTAATAGGAGGTGCAGAAAGCTTTATTTATAACACCACATGGGAGATACAATAGTTGTAGAGAATGTGGTCCCCAACTCCTGTGAACATTTAATCCCCCAAGTCATGAGTTAAGGGTAGTACAGGAAGCTAGAAACTTGAACCAATTATGGAGTTTAGGATTGGGGCTTCATGGAAGGTCTGCTGGATCACTGTGATCTGGAAAAGTGGTTCTTAGAAGAGGCCTGAGTTGGGTTCAGTTGCCCTCTCTGCCACCTGGCTTCCCTTCTCATCCTTCCCCTGTACTCAAGCAAGCATTAGCAACCCTCCTTAGATGTTCAACTGACACTATTGCCAGGTCTTGGGCAATAGTATCAGTTGGGCTGTGAATCTCCAAAATTGTCCACCAATTAAAATTCCTTCCTCCAACGGTAGCTTGTCTCAGGTCTGTAGTCATAGTAATGAAAAGCTGACTGACACTGAAGACCTTCAATATGCAGTGTTTACTCTGAGTCAGCAAGCAAGCTATGTATGTTCTTCCCCCAGAGCCAGAACACTTGGGTCAAGAACCAGGCAACAGCACTGGGAGGGGCAGCTCTATAAGAATCACTTGCATAATTTTCTAACATATTAGTCATTCAATGCCATACCAATTAACTCCATAATGTTGTAAATTGTTGTTGATGTTGTTTTGTGAGTTTTCATTGCAGGGGATGGTATTCTGCCAGTTCTATTTTCAGACCAGGAATGGTCTCCCAATGAAAACTGTTGAACTTGTCTGGACAATAAGATGCTGGACTCTATGCATGGTACATGCTCGCAATGAGGGAATCATGACTGGATATGAACTGTACAACTGCAGCAATGTGGAGGAATCCAACATGGCAGGTGGGCATGGGGTGGGACTGGGGGAATCCCAGAACCTATGAAACTGTGTCACAAAATGAAATAAATTTAAAAAAAGAATCACTTGCATAAATATTACTTCTTTTCTTTAAAAATTTAATTAAAGAAATATTTATTTTTATTTATTTGAAAGGGAGAGGAAGAGAGGGAAATAGGGAGAAACAGATATTTCATCCAAGGGTTCACTCCTTAGGTGGACACGACAACCAGGGCTTGGTCAGCCAAAGCAGCAGCCAGGAACATCTTCTGGGTCTCTACTTGGATGCAGGTGCCCAAGAATTTGGGCTGTCCTCCGCCGCTTCCCCACATGCATTAGCAGGGATCTGGATTGGAAATGAAAAAACTGGGACTCAAACCAATGCCTATATGGGATACTGGTGTGCCTATATGGGATGACTTAGGGGATGGCAGCTTAACTCATTACACCAACCACAATACTGGCCCCAGAAATGGTTACTTCTTTTTTTAAAAGATCTTTTTTTTTTTTTTTTTTTTTTTTAGAAAGTAAGATATACAAAGAGGAGGAAAAACAGAGAGGAAGATCTTCCATCCGATGATTCACTCCCCAACAGCCAGAGCTGAGCTGATCCACAACCAAGAGCTTGGAGCTTCTCTCGGGTCTCCCACTCGGTGCGGGGTCCCAAGGCTTTGGGTTGTCTTTGACTGCTCTCCCAGGCCACAAGCAGGGATCTGGGAAGCTGGGAAGCTGGGATTAGAACCATCACCCATATGGGATCTGGGTGCATATAAGGTGAGGACTTTGAGCTGCTAGGCTACTGTGCCAGGCCAAAATGGTTACTTCTTAACTCCATAACTGGGCTCTGATAATTTAAAGCTTTGACTAGTATAGAAACAGTAGTAGTTTTACTTAGTTGGAAGTTAAGACTGTTGCCTTGTCACTCCTCATGGCACTTGAAGAATCCCAAAGCAAGAGAGCAATATGGTACGGGGGTGACAAATCATCACTAACAGGTGAAAACTGGTCTACAACAGAGCCTTGGAAACCAGGAGATCCCTTGGGGCCGCCCCCTCCAGGTGCATGCATTGACCAACAACATCCTGGCTGGTCAGGACTACCACTAAGTACATTACAATGGACCCAGTTCAGCATACAAAAGATTGAGATGGGATCAGGACAGACCAAGAAAAATGATCATCCTCTATAGATTTGGTATTTGAAGTCATGCCTAACAATGGACTCCATTCCTTTGAACTGGGTCCTTTTGAAATGATTGTGCCTTCTACAATAGGAGGAATAGTGGCATTCCTTGCAGAAAAGGTCTTTTTGTGGGTGTGGGTGTATTTTATTTAAAATGATTTATATTGACCTTGCGCATTCAAAGAGCTCATCATTCTACAGAAGCTGAGAACACCATGTACCACTGTTCTCTGCCTCCTTCTCTCAAGCACAAGCCTGGGTCCCCCAGCTGCACCTGCTTTCAGAGGCTGCAGAGGGAGTGGCTCTGGGAGGCGGCAGCCAGCATCCAGTGGCTACCACTTGCCATGGTGGTTACCATGTGCATGCCTAGGCTGTCTCTGGAGACGCTTGTGCCAGCTCAGTTAAGAGGCATGAGTTTGAGTACTATTCTTGGTAAGGTAACTCCAATCAGGTCCTTCATCCATAAAGATAATGTGTGGGACCCAATATCCCTATAATAAATTCCTTTAGATTATATTGTCTGGAGTGTCCTTTATATAGAGAATGACCCAGAAGGATTCATTCTCGTGAGTGATTACTGCTGACTCCAATTATTGGAATTTTCTACACTCCTTTTGCCAGTCTACATTTTGTGACTTTTCTAACATGATCATCAACACTTTTTAATAATAAAAAACTTTATATCATAATATAGTATAATATAAATGCATTTAAATATATTACAACACATTTTAATAACAAAACCCTCTATATTGTATATAAATATATAAATATAATATATCACTATATGTGTGACATATAACACTTTTTAATAACAAAAAAGCTTTATACTGTAATATATAAGTGTGTGTCATCTTGAGACTTCACTAAACTTTCTAACCTATGGCTTTATGTCGTAGGTACACATTTATTACTAAAATTGACATGCCCCTCCCAAAGAAGAAAATACCTCTGTAAGTTTAATTCGAAATGGAAGAATATGATACTGTAAAGAAAGAGGAAGAGCAGTACTCGCTCAAAACCAGTGAAAATAACAGTCCGGAGAAGCAGAATAAGGTAACTGCTTTGATTTAATTTTTATTTGATTTTTATAAGCAATTGATACTTATGTAATATTTAAATTGATATGCAAGGTTACATGTAAATGCACAGTTACATGTAAATATTGACTTTCTAGCTACTAAAAACATAAAATATTGATTACATGAGACAGAAAGCCATGTGGAATTATTTTAAGTATTAGATATTATTGCATTTACAGATGTCGCCAAATCAACATTGTCCCTCCACAATAGGACATTTATCCTAAATTCTATTTACATTTTCAATCAAGCAAAAGCACTCTTCAAGTACACAGTCAATAAACTTGCCCTAATCATTTTGCTCAGAATCTTCTAGCCTTGACTGGGTTTTATGGGAGTCCCACAGTTACCTTTCTTCCCAGCATATATCTTCGCAAGGAACTGAAAAACACAAGCAAACATTGTTCAGTCCTTGTAAAAAAATCACCACTGTACCCAGATTCAAAATTTCACTCTTTGACACACGTCCTCGTACAACAACACAAAAATTATGTGGATGAGCTGGCCATGAGGCATGCACATCCTAATGATCAGAAATACTCAGGTTGAAATCACACTTGCTTTGTGCCCAAACTCCACCCTGTGCAGCCCAGTGTAGCCTGATCATGACTGTGGCTGACGGCCTGGGACCCACACAAGGAGCAGGGGGAGGGAAGCCATGGGTGGATGACCAAGTGGGACATCTCATGGAACGTCTGCCCACGGGTAGGCACAGTCACACCTACATCAGGGGTTTTAAGAGAGAGAATGACTATGCACAGCTACACGTAAGTCATGACTGTGAGCAGGTGTGCGTATGCATATGCATTTCACCGCAATAGAGGATTCCTCTCTCTGAGTTGAAATCTTATTGATAAAACAGAGGTGACAGGAGCTAAGAATACAGGGACAATACATTGGCAGGTCTCAAGTGACAGCTCTCCCAGGGGAGTTGGCTGTGGCCAGGGGTTCTCTCTCTCTAGTGGACACAGCTAACATCAGGCTCACCAAGGTGTTTGGCTTGCTTCCTCCAGCCCAAAACTCGATGATGTGTCCATAGACAGACTGAACTCAAACAACAAGAAACAACCCAAAATGAATAACAAAAATGCGCTGCCACTCAAAATGTGAAGAGGATCATAATATCTTCACGTGTAAACAGACCTGTTATCTACGGATGAAAGCACTTTGAAAGATTGTGGAAAAATGCAATTAAAATGTAAGCTTAGTTGGAGACAAAAACATTTTTAAAATCTGTGCACAGTTTTTTCATGACATACCTTTCCATAAATTTTTTGAACAACTCATACATACGCACATAACACACAATAATATAAAACAGAGTAATATATATAACTATGTATTAACATAAAACATGTAAGTATATGCTACGTATTAAGCATATAAAATATAAAACTATACTATGCAATCCTATGTAGCATATTGTATATAAATACACTATAAGAATCAGGCAGCTATTATGCATGTATTAAGTATCTCTAGTGAGCCTATTGTTCAAAACTTGGAGGTCTCCTTGTATCCAAGTTCTCTAATGGCGACCTTTAATTCTCCGTCTACACCTTGTGCTCTTTGTCCTTGGCCATGGAGGTAAAGGACAAGAATTTCCTAGGGAATCCTGCCTGAGAGTCCTAGTCAAGGGCTGAAGACACACACTCTTTCGGTTCATGCCCAAGGGCGGGTCCCTGGGGGTGGGGGGAGATGGCCCTTTGAGAGCAGCAGAGACTAAAAAGGTAGAAGAAAGGGCAAAACCACATCCTCTCTCTTCTGCTGGGGAGAAACATGCCCCTCCTTGCCAGGGCCCGAGTCTGCAGGAGTAGTGCACCTGTCGGGGCATTAGACTAAGGCGGCGCTCAAACCGGCTTGGCTTCGGAAGCGACCCTGTACTCACGCTCGGCATCCTGTAACCCCGGCGGAGAATGAAGTCCCGGAATGCAGCTGTACCCTGGAGCTCTGCAAGCCGCTCTTCCTACAGGAAGTCAGGGAAACTGGTCAGCCATCGGGAGGTGGGACTCACACCCACCCAACAATTTAGCCCTTTATACAGCGCCTCATTTCAAACCACCTCCGTCTCACTTTGGAAGATGTGCATAAATATTGCTCATAAATTGATGAATAGGATGGCTTCCTAAAACGCCCAACCTTCTCTCCCTCCTTTACCCCTTTTTCTCACCCTCGCATCAAGGACAAGAAACATATTTTAGCAGCTAATGAATTGTTGGCACGGATGTCTGGAAGGTGAGCTATTTCAGGTTAAAAACGCACCGCCAATTTACAAATCTTAACCTCAGAAGGAGGCATGACAGTCAAAAAAGACTTAATCTTATCACATCTTCTCATTGTTCATGCATCCTTTGGAGATGCAACAGTTTGAACACCATATGGTCCCGATTTCTGTAATTGAAATTCAATATTAGACCCCATGCGCTGGCTCAGTGGCTGAGTATTCACCTTGCACACAGTAGGATCCCATATGGGCACTGGTTCATATCCCACTCCTGCAGTTCCCATCCAGCTTCCTGCTTGTGGCCTGGGATAGCAGTAGAGGACGGCCCAAAGCCTTAGGACCCAGTGGCTGCATGGGAGACCCCAAAGAAGTTCCTGGCTTCTGGTTTCAGATAGGTTTGGTTTCAAACATTGCGGTCACTTGGGGAATGAACTAGAGAGGGAAGATCTTTTTCTCTATATCTACTCCTCTCTGGAAATCTGCCTTTCCAATAAAAATAAAATACATCTTTTTTTAAAAAGAAAAGAAATTCAATACTCTAAGACTATTTACAGTCGAAATGAAGTCAATCGAGAAGAGTCAATGCTTGAACGTTCCCAGCAAGAAAGCAGTGTTACTGTAGTGTCTGTGCCTTATCAGCCTCCCCTTGAACCAGTGCCTTGCTCACTGCTTGGGGGTCCAGGGCCCCAGGTTCCACCTGCTGCGCATAGGGGGAGCCATTCACCAAGTGATAACCACTACCTGGATCCAAAACCACTACCAAGCAATTCCCTGTTGTGGATCCTTCCTGTGCCTAAAACCTCTGATAACCAGGTTTTACTATACCAGGTGTAGGAACCATGGTTACTTTTTAAAGAAGATTTGTTTTATTTATTTGAAAGGCAGATTTATAGAGAGATGGAAAGAGAAAGAGATCTTCCATCTGCTGGATAACTTCCCAGATGGCTGCAACATCCAGGGTGGACCACATCAAAAGACAACTGTTTGAGGAGGGAGAGGTCTCCCATATAGCGGCCCAACCACTTTGGCCTTCTTATGCTGCTTTCCCAGACTCATTAATAGGCAAGTGGATCAGGAGTGGGAGAACCAAGACTTGAATTGGCATCCACATGGGAGGAGTACCACTGCCCCACTTAGAAACATGATCTCTACCCTGAAGCCAAGAGCTAGCTCAAAATGTGGCTTTCTCATTGCTGACTCCATGGTGTAAGTACCTACAGGAACCTCTGTACTACTCCAGGGACTCTAGCACTTGCATGGGCTGGCAGGTGCATAGCATCATCTTGAATTCAGGTGATCTCAGCTGTTACATATACCTGCTCTTGCAGCTTCCTTTCCGGGTTCTCATCTGGAGCTTGCTGTGAGACCTTGGGATCAAGCAAAGGTTCATCTGCTTTATGCTTTTTCCACAACTTGGTGTTGAGGTACCATGCCCCATACCTCATCTTCACTCTCTTCAGCTTACAAGGATTCTGCATAAAGCAACAGAGTTTCTAGAGTCATTGCTTTAGCTCAATAAATCTAAGGTTTAGCTTTGGAAAGAAACAAGTATCATTACTGTGAGTTTGTGGTTGGTTTTTACCAAAGTATTTTATGAGACTTCATCATACTTCACTTCTACAAAGGAAACATGAACTGTTCATGGTTGAGGAGATAATTAGGAACATGGCCTTTGGATTCAGACAGATCTTGGTTCAAACACAGCCTTCTCTCTTCCTTTACAGTCGTGAGCCAATGGGCAGGCTACTTAAAATGCTCATTTGTGAAATGGTAAGGGCCCCATATGATACTCAGCCTCATAAATGCTACACTACTTTTTAAAATTATTAAACAATCTCAGTCTCTTTAATTGGAAGACAGAAAGAGGAAGGAAGAAACAGATCCCATTCCTTTCTTTCTCCCATTCCTCAGCAGTGCATCAAGAATGTAAAGAGAACCTCTTTTTGGTTCATACCTGACGCAACATCTAAACTCTGTCTCATCACAAAATGTAATCTAATCATGGAGTGGGACAAACAAACACGAACTCACAACGATTCTGCCCCTTTCTCCCCTCACTCAATGTTTAAACTAAGCAGCGGAATGCGTGGACACTCTGGATTCAGGCCACAGATGCCCAATGACCACAGAGAAAGCAGAACAGGAGCAAGTTCCTCCAAGGCCTTGGTTCAGTTCCTCTATGCCAAACACACCGACCCCCTTGCTATTTCCAGAGCCACCTGTCACACCTCTGCCCCAGGGCCTTTGACCCATTGTTCCCCTTGCTGTAACACTTCTCCCAGGACTTGCACACAGCTCAATCCCCTCTCTTAATGTATATCATCTTTTCAGTAGTATCTTTCCCCACCATCTGATACAGAAATTGTAACTCCCTCACAATACTTTTTGTCTTCTTGCCCTAACTCTCTTAACATCACTTATTGCCATTTAATCTGCTGTATGTTTTCTGCTTGTTTTTCTGTCTCTTTCCATTCTTTAAATTGTTAAGCATTACAGATTTTTTTTCCCCTGGGTACATCTCCCTGTATCTAGAACAATTCTTAGCACTTAATAGGTGTTCAACAAATATTTCTTAACATAATGTTGGCACCATTGACATTAGTGAGTGGTAACACTTTCTTGGGGGCAAAGGGGTAGTTGGCCTGCATGTTGTAGAATCTTTGGCAGCATCGCTGGCCTCTAAATACTAGACGTCATCACCAGATGTTGCCAAATATCCCCCATTGTGAAAGAGGGAATGAAATCATCCTCAGTTGCGAACCACTGAATTAAAGGAAGGGAGAAAAGAAACAGAAGGGAAAGGCACTGGGAGGGAGGAATAGAGTCCACACCAAGCCACGCTGAAAAAGTCGAGTCCTAGAACATTCCATTTTCCTAGTCATCTTTCAAGATCCAGTACAAACAAACTCTCCTTTGTGATGGCTATAACGAACTGTCCCCACTTAGGCCTGGTAGAATTGATATTTCTTCCTACACTTTGTACACAATACAACATCATCTTACTATAGTTAATTATCCACTTAGTTGTTCCTGCCACACTGTAAGCTCCTTAAATATGAAAGAGTCTTCCATTGTCGTTGATTTGCTCCGTAACTGTGCCAGCTTACTGCCTTGAGTTTCCAGGTCACATCCAAAGAGGAGGAACCTAGGAGCCTTGGGCTCTAATATGAGAAGACAGAACTAAGAGTCCAGGGAGGCCAAGACAGAGGAGTTTGATACACCAAGTAACAGCAAGGAAACAACTGCTCAGGGAGAGAACTCCAGGGGTTTATGGAGGGTTGCCTCTGTCTGGGGAGCAGAGGAAGATTATCCAAAGTCAGACAAAAAATAAACCAAAAGAGTAGAAGAAAATGTGTCTGGACACACACAGGGCCAGGAACAGTGCCTTCTTCCTCCTGGAAAACCTAAATATTCACAAGGCATTAAGAAGAAAACATGGAAGTTTCACTCCTACACTGTATATTACTCTAGTCCTTCCTAGCAAATTTTAGGAAGGTCCCCAATGATCAAGCTTTTCCAAATAACTCAATTTCATCCCAGAAGTAATTTCAAGAGTATTTACAGGAATATGAAAATACCCAACACCAGTAAGGTAAAATTCACAATGCCTACTATCCACTCAAAGATCATCACACACACTTGTATGCAGATAAACATGATCTACATCAATGAGATAAACCAATAATGGAAACTGACAGGATTATCGGATGAGAGCATCAAAGCAATTACTGTAACTATATTTTTTATGTTCAAAAGATTAAGTAGAGACACAAGATATAGACCCACATCAAATTTCTAGAAGTGAAAATTATTAAGTATGAGATTAATACACAAACTAAGGGGGATTAACAATAGAATCTATAGTGTAGAAAAATTTATTACAGAACTGAACTGAGTTGTAACAAAACATTAGGCAGCCCAGTTACACTGTAATTTGAATCCTGGCAAGGGGCTGAAAGGAAAACTAAATTTATGAAGAAATTATGATCAAAGTGTTTTCAGTTTGGTGAGAAGTATAAGCCTACCAGTTAAACAGGCTCATCCCAAGCATAAGCAACATGAGGAATACACAAAAGTGTTTCATAATCAAGCTGTTCAAAATCAGTGGCTAAGAGAACAGCTGAAATTATCCAGGACTCCTCCAAAAAACATAAAAACAAAGTTAGTAATGACCTAAGATGTCTCATCAGACACAATACAATCAAGAAGACTGTGGAAGACATCCTTGGAGTACAAAAAACCCAGAATGCAATATCCCTAAATACCTTTCCAAGATGAAGGCGGACTAAGGATGATTCCAGCCATACAAGAGCTGGAGGACTTCATCACCAGCAAGTCCACGCTGGAGAGATGTGCAACCAGAAGACATCACCATGTTGAGCTACAGTTTGAACTTTTGCACAGTGACCCTCCACCTGCCAGTCAGAAGTTCAGTTTTGGAAATAACCACTATGGTTCACAAAGCAGCATTTGTGCAACGCTTGGTGAGTCTAGAGAATTGAGCAATGTGCCTTAACTCAGCGTCAGGACAAGCAAGAGTTTAGGCCTCAGGAACGGTGGACATAATTGCCTGCCCAGTGTCGTTTGGCACTTTTACTTCTTACAAAGATGAAAGGCAACTGGAAAAAAACAAAATGTCGGTGCTAGTGATGGGAGGCATAGTTTCGCAAGCCTGCTACAGCAAGTCAAGAGTGAGAGCAGAACATTTGGGGACATGGATCAGTCAACTGAGTTCAGCTGTAGAGGACAAAATGGACTGTGTCTAGAATACTAGAAACATAATATCAAAGATAACATACAAGTGGCAGAGGATAATAATTAGAAATCATACAGCGGTTTGCTCCCAAAGAGAAAGGAATTCCCCTTTCTGCCCCTAACTTGGGTGCTAAAGTGTGTTACTGATCGCCGCAGTCTGTGTGTCTACAAACATATATTTACACATGCACGGACGCAGCATCATTCAGAAGCACTTTGGAGACCACTCGGCTGCCCTTGGGAACCAGCAAGCTGAGCTACCTTTCTGTTCCCTTGTCTTGCTATCTTCACAGCAACCCCACACGAGGAAACAGAGCAATTTGTTAACAGTTAGGCAAGTCATGTGGTCAGGAATAATTGCGTATGGTCAACAAGGCTAGCAATTCTTTGGACATAAAATCAGCAGCATTTTCAATTATTGTATTAATTAATTAATTTTACTCTTGTTCATGAGTCATAAGCATTCATGTATATTTCCACTAGCTGCTAGTTTCAACATAAGAAACATATAAAAAGATGGTCTCTAAGAAATGACTGACACTCATAGTAAATCTGAATGACATTGACTCGCTTGCATAGCTGAATTTGGCCTATGTCTTAAACATTCATTCACTGAACAAATGAAAAAAAAAAAAAAACTCAAGAATTGTACCTTAAAAAGCCAGTGCTCCCTGAAACCAGAATATAAGAGCATTTAAGACATTATTTCATTTTAGTTTTCTTTGATAGTCTAATCCTCTTCTATAATCACCTGGGCCTTTGGGGGTTTCCTCTTCTCATTTGGCTTCTGAAAGAGTTCTGGCTGTGGCCCCTTCCTCAAGCTGACACGACACCACAGCTCCGGGGGAACCTGGCTTGGACTCATCACACGGAGGACATCTGAATTTGGCCTGCTCAGAATGTCAACGTCAAACTGTTTCAGGATAAACTCTTCATCAATGTTCAGATTTCCCTGGAAAAATACCCATTATGTGAATCAAGGACAAATGGTGAAAGGCTGCTTGCTTTCTTCTCTCCTCTAAGGGAGATACGGACCATTGCTGGAAGGCTTGTTTGCAGCAAAGGGTAGAAAATGTTTAGTCAGCATCCACTGGAGGCAGGAAGGCTTTGGGGTCCACAGGGACAAGTCAGTATGCTAAAAGACAGGTTAGGACTTGCGGGAAGTCGGGAGTCCCTGTGGGAAAACCAGTCTGATCAAAACAAACTTTACCAGTGCTTCATAGCAATGACATACCCAGGGGTAATTTCCTGACACAGCTAGACGTGTTGGCATTTGCTCTACTCACAGTCCTTCAAGCAAAGCCACCTTAGCTAGGGCTCAAGTTGGTGGTAGCACTTTTGGTGAACTCACTTCCTCGCCCAGCCACAGGTGGGTGGAGTGGAGCTGGGCACATTAACTGTGGCCACTCTTATAGGCTGCCAGTTGCCCTGTGATATGATTTTAACAGCAAAAGATAAATTGGACTCGACAGACTCTTAACTTGGAACATTAGAAATTGAGGAACACAGAGAAAAACATGCAGTCAGCTGGAGCTGAAGTCAGAGGGAGATTTATAGAGGAGAGTCATGAATTAGAGTCTGGGCATAAAGGGGTCAAGCAGGGTCAAAGCTAAGCTGAAAGAATAAGGACGCAAACACAGAGCCAGCAGAATGAATGACATAAAAAGTAAATCATTGTTCCTGCTAGGACAGGAAGTGAATTGAGTAGGGCTGGCTCATGGACCCACTGGTGTGTGCAAAATATGGCACTGGGAGAGGTTCTGATGGAGGAGCCTGGGCAGCTGCTCTGGCAGGGCACAGACCCTGCAGGTAAGCACAAGAAGCATGATAGGAAACAGCCCAGAACAGGCCATAGAAAGTTTCCCACTGGCATACATTTGGCATGGGTTGGGGGCAAACCAGGCTGAATCAATTCACGTCATCCACTGGCAAATCTGAGCACTGGAACAGAGTATGGGTCGAGCCAGGTTTGGTCATGACAAAAACCAGTGCACAATACAGAATGCCAAGGTGAGGTTGCCTGTATCAATGTGACCACAGCGCACAACCAGCATGCGTGAGAACCAGGAAGGGAGGGGCGGAGCTGGCAGGGGAATAAGGGAGGGTTCCTTTGCTGGACAGCTACTCCCACTGGAGAGCGTGAGCTGGGATTGGGGCGGACCAGACTAAGCCTGGCTATAACACCTGTGTGCCTCATATGAACTAGATCAGAGAAAAGCCAGGCTGGGCTGATTATTTCAACCTGTGCAAACAAAATTAGAGTGGGTGAGGGTTGTTTGGGCTTAGCCACAGCATCAGCTGGCAGAAGCTGGCACTAGGGGCTAATTCTCTCAAGTCAAACCACAGAACCACCTAGAGAGTGCATATTCCGGGAGTGGGAGAGGCCTAGGAGGGAAATAGCGAGCTCCTCCCTCTTGGTTTACCACTACCATTTGAGGGCACAAAAACTAGGACAGGGGCAGGGGTGGCTAGACAGAGAGGCACTCAACAACACCCATGAGGGCTTGATTGTTGAGCTGGTTAGATGGATCTAAGCTTCAATACCCATTGACCTGTATGAGAGCAGAATGGGATGTGGGCAGACTGGACTAGTCTGCTGTACACATACTGGTAAACCAGGGTAGGGGGCGGGTCTGGTGGAGGTAATTGTGGGTTGCTCTGACTAGGCTGCAGCTCCCACTGGTTTATGCGAGGGCCGAGTATGTGCTGGGCAGAACCAGGTTGGACTGCAACACCCATTGGTTCCAGTGGAAGTCAGGGCTGAAAACAGAACCAACCCAGCAATTGCAACCACCAGCTGATTGGGGCAATGAACTGTGCCGGGCCCTGTACTTGCTAGTACATACAAGAATCTGGTCTGGGAACACCTCAGACAAAGTTTCTTTGGGGATCTCCCCAATCAAACTGCCGGACTCAGAACCCTAACCATGAAAAAACAGAGGACGGAACAAGTCAATCAGCTTGTTGTCAATCAGTCATATAGCCACCTCAGCTATATGTTGGCAATGAAGAGCTGGGCAAATGGAGACTCTATGATGGACTGTGTCAATCAGTAGATTCTTCAACGACCTTATTGTGCTTGGAGTGGTGAGAATGGCAGCAATTCATGGCTGGCGAACTATCAAAACCACTTGAGCAAAACCCTCGGTGCATGCTCCACATCCAGGACCTGGGGTGGGTGGGAGACTCAGTGGGGCTTCACCCTCAATATCTCCCTTTACCTCAGATACATGAACAAAACAATATGGAAATGATAGTCTTACCCACTTTCCTGTAGCCCTTGAACATTTTTACCCTAATTAACTATGTAAAGATTGTCAAAAACATAATAAAAAATGGAAAAAGTTTTTTTAAAAAAAAAGTAAATCAATAGCATGGAAAGAAAAGGAGAAGCCAGTGTTATGAACATCTCACAGGGTGGTGTGATAGGGATTGAGGCTGTGGAATGGAGATAAAGACAAGATCTCGGCCATGAGGGACTGAAAATAAGGTCAGCCATGGGGCAGCGGATTAGTAGCGGCAGAAATTTCAGAATGTGGACGGAGACTCAGAAGGGCTGGGAATCAGGGACACCCAACGCAGCCGGAAGATAATCCAGCAGTGGTTCAGACAACAGGTCCAGGAGGTACCACCTGCCCTGTCCAGCAGGTGCTCCCTCCAAGTGCCCACTGGGGATCCTCCTCCCTTCCCCTTCATCAGCTTGTTCCTGGACATCCTCATCTCTGGGCTTTAAGATTAGATCATGGGCATACTCTACCTCCTTGATCAAAGTTGTTAATTCAGGTACACACACATGACCCACATTAGTCCAGTGAGAATAGTCCTGTCTTTTTCCTACTGGAAAAAAATTACACTCTTCCTGCTAAGATTTCATACTGGAAGGATGTAAGCTTGAGAATTAAGTGTGTATTGTTGGCCTCTCAGAGAAAGACTGCCTAAAAATAAAGTCAGATGCAGGAGAGTAGGCAAGAGACAAGACAGCACCTAAAAATCCAGCAACTAGATCCAGCTGTGCCCAAAGCACCCAGTATTTATGGATGACTCTCTTTTCCCTCTTATACTCCAGGCACTTGCTAACTAAACAATCCTAAGTGATATATTGACTAAGACACTAAAAACACCAGCGTTCAAGGAACGCAGGTCCTAGAGGCATCCCCAGTCATTGGCACAACCACTTGAGTGAACGTCCACTCCAAATCTATTTTTAATAAAAGTAATTTGAACATGACTCTGAAATGTAGGGCCAAGGGGCCAGTATTTTACAAAAGCAGGTTGAGTCACAGACTATGATGTTGGCATCCTATATGAGTGCCAGGTCTAGCTGTACTTCTAATCCAGCTCCTTGCTAATATACTTGGGAAAGCAACACAAGATGGCCCAGATGCTTGGGCCCCTGCCACCCACATGGGAAACCTGGATAGAGGTCCAACCTCGTGGCTTCAGCTTGGCACTGCTCCAGCTGTTGCAGTCATTTGGGGAGTGAACCAATAAACGGAAGATATTCTCTCTCTCTCTCTCCATAGTTTTCAAGTAAATAAATGTATACATTTTTAAAAAAACATCAGGGTGGGGAGGGTATTGCTGCTAACTTACCAAAGTAGCAAGCCAGTTGCAGAAGTCACTGACCGCTTGGCGGGCGCTTTCCTGAAGAAGAGGTCTGTCATCATGGAGTGTCTCCATCTCACTTGATTTTTCTTCAGGGAACCACTGACCTGAATGTGATGCAGGAGTCTTCTTGGGACTGGGGATAATGAGATCATCCAAGTGTGACTGTATGAGGTGCAGTGAATCCAAGTAGATTGCAAACAGCATTGTGGGGAAAGCAGAGCATCCAGCAATAGTTCTGGGACTGGCATTGTGGAATAGCTAATTAAGCTGCTGCCTACAGGCCTGGCAGCCCATAACAGTGCTGATTTAAGCCCCAGAGGTTCTATTTCTGACTTGGCCCCCTGCTAATCCATCTAGGAGGCAGTGAATGCCCAAATGCTTGGGCCCCTGCTACTACAGGGAAGATCCAGAGGAGTTCCAGGCTCCTTCTCTCAGCCTGGCACAGTCTTGGGAAGTGAACCAACAAATGGAAGAGCTCTCTGTTTCTCTTTGTCTCTGTGTTAGTTTACCTTTTAAATAAATACATTTTGGAAGTGATGAGGAGAGGAGAGGAGAGGAGAGGAGAGGAGAGGAGAGGAGAGGAGAGGAGAGGAGAGGAGAGGAGAGGAGAGGAGAGGAGAGGAGAGGAGAGGAGAGGAGAGGAGAGGAGTGGAGAGGAGAGGAGAGGAGGAAGGAGAGCAGGAAGGCAGGCCAATGTGTAGTATAGGTCAAACTTTCATCTGTGGTATCAGCATCCCATATGGGCTCTGGTTTGAGTTCTGGCTGCTCCACTTCCAGTACAGCTCCCTATTAAGGCACCTGGGAAGAAGACGGCCCAAGTCATTGGGCCCCTACATCCATGTGGGAGTCCCAGAAGAACCTCCAGTCTCCTTACTTTGACCTGGCCCAGCTCCAGCTGTTACAGCCATTTGGGGTGTGAACCGGTAGATGGAAGATCTCTCTATTTGTCTCTCCTACACTCTCTGTAATTCTATCTTTCAAATAAAAATAAACAAGTGTACAAAAAACAAAGGAATGAAGGAACAATAGATTTCTAACAGTTCATTGCAAGCTACAGAAATTACATTTTGATCTTTCAAAGAGTACATTCCTACAATCAACATCAATATCATAGAGAGAAATGTATTATGATTAATTATAACAAAACTTGTATAGCATTTTACCATTGTAAGTTGATATTTAAAATCCTAAGTACCATTTATTAAAATATGTGCCAGGTAAAAACCCAAATTACTGAGCTTAAAGTTTACGGAAATATCACACAGTCTTTTTTTTATGTAAAATCCTTTTTTTCAAACAACTATTTTCATTTTATTTGGAAGTAGAGAAAAAGACAGAAAGAGACAGAGAGGGATTTTCCCTCTGCTGGGTCTCTCCCCAAATACCCACAACAGCTGGGGCTGGGCCTGACCAAAGCCTGATGCCTGGAACTCAATCCAGTTCCCACCACCAGTTGTATCGATGGCTACTGACACATCACGTGCAGTGGTCACTGAGAAGTGTTGAGTAACTTGGAGAGCAGCGGTACCCTTGATCGAGAGCAGGTTTGATGGAATGTTGGAGGGACCGACTCCTGTGAGTTCAAGAGAAGGAAAAAGGAAGCAGGGAGCATGAGTACCTCTCTCCAGGAGTTCCGCCCCAAAGGAGAGCAGAGGCTGCCTAGGTAAGGGGTGTGGTGTACAAAACGGGAGGTAGCTCCACCTGCTGTGGTACATAACATAGGCAGCGAGGAGACCAGTGCTAATCCAGGAGACCCAGAAACGCCCCAACATCTGAAAAGAATCTCTGTGAGTGTGACTAAGTCGGGGAACCTGAGATAGGGTATCTGGATGGGCCTCCAATGCCCTCACACATGACCTGAGAAGAGAGAGGAAGATCAGATCACATGAAGCAGACAATGCAGAGGTTTAAGGATGCTGAGAGGGTGGGCTTAGGTGACCACAGGCCAGTGATGGCAACCGTCCCAACAGCTGGAGGAGGCAAGGAAGGGATCTGCCCAGCACCTCTGGTAAGAGCGAGGCCCTGCAAACTGTGGACCCAGCATAGGGGCCCTGCTGGCATATGCCTGGCTTCCACAGCTGGAAGAAATGAATTCCTGATGTTTTCAGCCACCAAATGAGTGCTCAACTGTCATGGAAACCACAGGAAACTAGGTGCACATCTGCTGATAGGAAAACTCAACTGGCACATAATCACACACACTAATGATAAACTTATTAACATAGAGGTACAGTGAATTCCATTTATATTTTTACCATCTTCTTTTTTTCCCCTAAAGATTTATTTTTATTGGAAAGACAGATTTACAGAGAGAAGGAGAGAGAGGGAAAAATCTTCCACCTGCTGGTTCACTCCCCCAAATGGCCACAATGGTAAGAGCTGAACTGATCCAAAGCTAGGAAACTCCCCCAGGTTTCCCATATGAATACAGGGTCCCAAGGCTCTGAGCCATCCTCCACTGCTTTGCCAGGCCATAAATAAGGAGCAGGATTGGAAGTGGAGCAGCCAGGATATGAACAGATGCTGATATGGGATGCCTGTACTTACAGGTGGAGGACTAGCCAATTAAGCTATCACACCAGTCCCTGTCCTCCCCTCATTTTTTTTTAAAAAAAGACTTATTCAGAAGAGAGCAGATCTTTCATTTCCTGTTTTGTTCTCTAAATCTCAGTGACCAGGAGTAGGCCAGGCTGAAGCCAGAATTGAGGAATTCCATCTGGGTCTCCCACATGGGTCTCCCACGTGGATGTAGGGGCCCAGATACTTGGGCTAAGCTCTACTGCTTTCCCAGGTGCATCAGCTGAGCTCTGGATCAGAAGGGCATGTGGGGCGCCAGCACTGCAAGCAGCGGCTACATCACAACACCAGCTTCTGCTTGCTTGGTGCATCTCATTCAGCAGTACCCACAAGGAGACCACTGGATTTTAAAAGTCTGATGTGCACCTCAAAACATCTCTCGTCAAGTATACTGACCATGGCATTCACACAGAAGTTCATCATAAGCAAGAATGTGACTCAAAAGAAAGCTATCCCTACTGAACTAAAATGTTTTGGGAAAATCGATTTCTGATATGTTTTGGCAAGAAAGGTGAGTGGGAATTTCAAACCAAATTCTCAGTTCCAAAGACCAACAAGTAAATATACAGTGATGCTTAAAATCAAGTGTTGCCAGGATTCAGTGTATTCTCTTATAATTCCCACGTCCCTGTATTAATCTTCTAGCCTTCCTTTCATTTTTTTTCTTTTTTAATTCAACCCATTAGTAGCCTCAAAATCATGTTGAAAAAAAATAGCTTTTGCTATAGATCATTCAAGGAGCCATGAAGACCAATTGATCAGGTTCTTGGTCATTCTCCCCTTGCTGAATAAAAGTCACACAGCACCCATGAGTGTGCAGCTGCTAAATGAATCAGCCCATTTTCAGATGAAAGTGCTGCTCAATGTAGAACCCAGGACTTGCCTGGCCCCTTCTCAGAAACTTAAGAAAGTGACTAACAAGGAGTCCCTTCGAGAAGTCACTCCTGGAATGTTCCACCGAGTGACAGCCATGCACCAGGGGTTACAAGAAAGATACTCACGCTCCTGGGTGGACTTTGGTGCAGCGTTTCTTTAGAAGTTTTCTGGGTTCCTCTGCTCTTTTGCTGGTGTCCTCACAAGAAGCCCACATGTCCCCAAGCTTCCTCTCAGGATCCAGTACTTCCAGCACCTGTACAAAGAGCTACAGACAGAAGATAGCCTGAGAGGAGGCCAAGGTTTGGATGTGGCTTGCAGCCCACCTGTCTGTGTGTTGGTTGCCTGGCTCCCCAGAGGGGGGGGGTTGTGTGGAAGAGGTGCACCTCCTTGGAGCCAGGGTCTAGTGATTGGTCATTGGGGTGCTGCCCTCAGAGGAGGTATAGACAGCTCCATGGGTTGTACTTGCTTACCTCCACATTTGAGCTGTTAGGAAAGAAAGGGCTGGCACCCTACTTCCTCTTTGGCCCTCCAGGTGCACCTGTGCCCAAGGATCCTCACCAGAGACCAACTGAATGGTGCTGGAACCACTGCTGAGGAGCCCAGGGGTGGCTAGTTCTGGGATGAGGAAGAGGGCATGGCTAAGGGGCAGGGAAGGACACATGTGACACAGCCAAGCCACCTGGGAGCTGGTGCTGGAGGCACAAGAACAGAGACCTGAATTAGACAAGCTTGTACTGAACAGCAGGAGCTCAGAGCGGAGGGGAGAGGCAGGCAAGAGGCTGAGCCCTTAAGCCATGAAGGTGGGAATGACCACGTTATTGGCTTTATCTTGGCAAAAAGGCATTTCTGGAGCAAACTTCAGCTGTATGACTGTGTGAGTGCTGGTGCACAGGGGCTCCTGGGACTGCCCCCTTCCTGCCCCCGGGGAAGACACCAACTTGCAGGACCCCAGGGAAGCTGTTCTTCCACAAGCCCTGAGACATAGCACCTCTGCAGGCATGGTTCCTCTGAGATCCGGGTAGAGAGCCAAGGGGTGTGGGGTCAGGCTGGCCTTCACCTCTCCAGGCTGTGCCTTCAGAGCCCCTGGGACTTTGCGATGACTCCCAGGCGGAAAGCTGCCCTTGGGACCTGGTCTCAGGAATACCCAGCGCTGGCCATTCAGGAAGTTGGGGCGCTCCAGCCCTGTCTTGTGCCTGAAAGGTAGCTTCTCTTTGCACCTACAAGACAATGTGCCCAGATCTTGCAAAGCACGCTCATTTCAAGCCTGGCAGTACCAGGAGGCTGTACTGTGCTTTATGGAAGGACTGGGAGGAGAATCGGCAAGGAAGGAGCTAAAGTTTTCACATTTCCTAATTTTCTTTATTCTAATTTATGCCCCCAGCCCACTCTCACTACCCTTCCTTGCACAGGCAAAACATCATTGTGATGAATAGGAAATATTGCCTCCGGCCTCTTACTGTACTACTTCAGGGTAATTAACAACAAGGAAACTTGGGGCTCCAGCAGTTCCTTTCCTACCCTCTGCCACACAATTAATTTAATGTTTTGTACTTCACTAGAAACTTTGTGCTGCTTGACTCTCAAGTTGATTAGAGGGTGAGAGCTTAAAAATCCAGCTGGGGCTGTGAGGGTGCAGTGGCTCCTGGAGTGTAGCAGGAGTTGCTCTCTAAAGATGCCTAACATCCTATACTTGTGTCTCTCCTGTACTCTGCGACAATTTGAAGGTGGCCATGAAATCACTGAAAAGTCATTCTGTGTGCATGTGTTCCTAATTTACATCAAGGCAATTATTCTCTCTTATTTGCCAAACACTATATTTCAGGTACTTATCCATGAATCCTCATGCAAACAGAATTCACCACTGTTCCAGAAGCAGATCATTCAAGAACACTGGGGTCTTTCCCTGAAGCTGCTTCTTCCTCAAGGCTTGTTTTGCACCAAATTTAATCTTTTCTGCACCCAGAGGCAAAAGCATTTAGAAGCTTGATCTCTAATGGGACCTAGATATTTATTACTTGCTCTGTGTGTGTGTGTGTTATAAAGGCTAGCTCAGCTAGATCATGAAAACAGAAGTGAAACAACATGTCAACTAAAAACTATTCTCACTCATGCACAGCTAAATGACAGAAAGGTGTCGAAATCTAGAGACAGCTGACCCATTTGGCATGACCTATGAGTAAGTAACTGCCCGTATGACTCCACAGTATCATCACAGAGTTGGTCTTCTGCTCATTTGCAACACGAACACCAAGAACGTCAGAAAGTTAAATCTTATAGCTCACAGGTTTTCTTCTTCTTTTTTTTAATATTTATTTTATTTCTTTGCAACACTGAGTTACAGAGGCAGAGATCTTCTGTCTGCTAGCTTTGTCCTCAAATGGCTGCAATAGCTGAGTTTGGGCCAGGCTGAAGGAGCTTCATCCAGGTCTCCCACATGGGTGGCAGAGGCCCAAGGACTTGGGCCATCTTCTGCTGCTTTCCCAGGCATATTAGCAGGGAGCTTGAGCAGAAGAGGAGAAGCTGGGACTTAAACAGGACTCCATAGGAGAGGCCACCAGATTCTAACATGTGTGTGTGAAGAGTTTAACCTGCAATGCCACAGTTGGTCCCGACGTAGCTTTCACTAAGCACAGTCAAAACAGCCCATGACGAGGATGGTGAAACGTGACAGAAACAAGCGCACATCTTGTGGAACATTGAGCTGGCACCCACCACACACAACAGCTAGCACCCCCTTCCTCACCTGGAACCAATGATCCAACGGGGAATCAAGACAGCCAGTCCCAAGGGAGACCTTTGCTAATCTGCCTACCTCCCACGCTTCCTGACGTTCAGCAAAAATCTTGTTCGATCCACAAAAGGAAGCAGAAAACATATTTCTGAATGTCTACTGTCTTCACAGACACTCACACATGGTGGAGAAAGCCTTCCTTAAGAGTGTAGTACTGGATATGTGTCCTAAAGGATGGAAAACTTAGGTTCTCACAAAGACCTATGCACAAGCGTTCCCAGCAACCTTGTAGGTGATGGGCAAAGGCTGGGAAACACTGGACCACCGCTGCATGCAACAGACTCAGTAATACAAACAAACCGGACACCTGACACACACAACATGGATGGATCGCGATGCTTCAGGATGAGTGAAAAACCACCAGTCTCAAAATGTCAGCCACCGTGCCATGCTAGTTCACACTCTCTAAGGAACAAGAGACGAGAAACAGAGAATAGATGAGTTACAGCCAAGGGCTGGAGAAGGAGGAATAGTTTTGTATCTTGACCTATGCATATCTCAACATTCTATACACACACACACACTCACGTGCAGCAAGAACTAAGGAAACCCAAGGAAGGTCTACACCGGAAGGACTCTGCACACACTGCGCCATCTCTCAGTTTGGTCATGAACTGTGGTGATGTCAGAGGCACTGTGGGGAACAACTGACAGAACCTTAAGCGAGACCTCTGGACTGTTTGCAATTCCTTCCCCATCTACAGTTATTTCAAGTTGTACGTGAGGGTAAGAGTCTCAACACGTAGACAGTGTCTACTACCGGTCGTGCCAAGTGCCTCCATGCTATCCCCATTCGTCCTCACGGTAACCCCATAATGGATGCCTCTCACTCTCCCCATAGTAAAGAAAAGTGCGCCCAGAAGGAACCACTAACTTCAACTCAAGAATTCCGGACTCTAGACTGTAGAATTCACACCAACAGGAGCCGCTGCCTCCCAGCCAGCTGGATCCCCGCAGGCTGGAGGGTTGTTAAGCCTCTGAACGACAGGGGGCATTGGTACCTGTTGTCCTTCCCCAGCCAGCTGGTGCCGCAGGTGTCTGATGGCAGGCGGACACAGGGTACCTGGCGACCCAGAGCACCTGGCGGAGGACTTGGCCGGCCGCTTCACCTGTGGAACTGGGACCTTCCTATCTGTACCCACGGGATGCGAGGAGCACAGAGGACCGGTGATTACAGGACACTCGCTAGGCTCCCGGAGCACATTCCTTATCATCTCTCCACCGCACGACACTCTGCTTCCAGCTCCGGCAAAGCGCGAGATCCGGACGCCCCAGCACGGCCCCGGTGTGGTGCCCCAGACCAGGCCCAGGGCGCTTACCCGGACCTGCAGCTCATGGCCCCGGCCGCCTGCGCTCCGCCGCGGAGTCACCGGCTCCGGTGTCTGTGCCGCCTTGGCTCCCGTCGCTGGGAGACCGGAGCGCAGGGAGCGGCCCGGACTTGCCTCGTCCAGTCCCTGGGCTGCCCAGGCGCCCGCCCCGCACGGCCCGAGCCCCGCAGCGCGGTGGGCCTGCCTGGGGAAAGGCAGAAGGTTCGGGTTGTAACCTCTGGCAAAGGAGGGTTCATCGTCGAACGGAATCAAGGAGCCAAACTGGCGACAGGTACCAGATAAAGCAAGAGTGTTGTTAGAGTCCCAGGGGAATCTCACATGAGCTAGTTTGAAGAGGATTCCAGCCTCATGATTTTGTGATGAGTGAGGATTCAGATGTGAACGATCAGAACGGAGAGTTGAGAATCACTGTCCACTGACCACTGAAGGCAGGTTAGACCTCCATGACCAGTTGCTCAGCACGGACATGCTGCTTTGTGGTATGCTCTGATACGATCAAGCCAGAACCTACTTGTAGGTTCATTGCCATTGTAGTCCATAGCTATCAATCTTTTCTTTATCTTTCTTTTTTTTTTTTTTAATTTCATGTTATGACACAGTTTCACAGGCTCTGGGATTCCCCCAGCCTCTCCAAAAGCCCTCCCCCCATGTTGAGTTCCTTCATATTGTTACAGTAGTACAGTTCATATCCAGTCATGATTCCTTCATTGAGGGTGTGGACCATGCAGAGTCCAGCATCTTATTGTTCTGATAAATTCAACAGTTTCATTGGGAGACCATCCCTGGTCTGAAAGTAGAGCTGGAAGAATATCATCTCCTCCAATGAAAAGCCACTACACAACTTCAACAACAACTTACAACATCATGAAGTTAATTGACATGGTATTGAGAGACCAATGTTAGAAAATGCAAGTTCTTAACCACATCCTGTGACTACTTCATTGACATTTCAATTTTAGTTTGTACACAACTGGCTGCTATACACCTTAAAATAGTTATAGGGTACTAAAATTTGCAAAGTTCAGTAAAAATCATGGTTGAATACTATAAGCTGCTAAATATAAAAATGAAAATAGACACAATCTTTTCATTTTCTTGAGGCAATGTCTTGTGTTTAATCAGTGGATGATACATCCCCTACAAACACCCAATTCCTTAAAGACCCGGTGTGATGGCTCAATGGCTAAAACCTCATCTTGCAAGTGCCTGGATCCCATACGGACATTAGTTCATGTCCCGACTGCTTCACCGACCATCCAGCTCCCTGTCTGTGACCTGAGAAAGCAGTAAGAGATGGCCCAAAGTCTTGGGATCCTCCACCTGCGTGAGAGACCTGGAGATTTGGATTTCTGACTTCTGGATTCAGATCAGCTCAGCTCTGGCCACTGCAGCCATTTGGGGAGTGAACCATTAGATGGAAGATATTTCTGTTTCTCCTTCTCTCTGTAAATCTGATCTGCCTTTCCAATAAAAATAAATAAACCTTTAAACACACACACACACACGTTTTCTTATTCCCCCAGAAGCCTTTCCTAACTCCTTTTTAATCCTCCCAACTCCTCCCTAAATAGAAATAATAGGGAGAAATATTTAACCAAGGCACTAGATTTTACTCTCTTGGATTTTATTTTTAGAGTCAGTATAATCTTTTTAGTCCAAAATAATTCAACTTCTGGAAGAATGTGTAAGAGCTTATAAGAGCCCTTCAAAAAATACTTGAGAAATAATTGTGTCTAGGGTTCCTTGTATGATGAATATTAATTTAAAACCATATCAATGGTCATTCATTAAGCTTTGTGAAGGTTGCTATTTTCATTGAAGAAGTAAAGATTTAAACTGTATTTGTTCATCAATTCTGGTGTTACTACAAACATAATTAAGTTTGTCTCAGGAATAAACATACTTGATAATGCTTGAAGATCTTGACAACTGTACATAGTGATGCTCAAGAAATGTGTAAGTTTAGCTGAATCTTTGTTTGCACAGGTTGTGACGCCAAAGAAATGATTCAAATAAAAAAATGATCTATCACTGGCTTACTAGGCTCATGTCTAATAACACCAGGAGATTAAGACAATTATCCAAGCTCATGAAAACAGTTAGTGGGGTAATCTCATCATTACCCAGAAATTCACACTTGATTCATGCAAAGAAGTGTTGACTCATAAACTGATGCAGAAAGTCAATGTAATTCAGTAGCTAAGATCTCCTGCAGCTTAAGTCACAGCTCACTATTTAATAAGGCTGGGCAAGTCATTCACAGTTTTATCCCTCAGCGATTTCTTTTTAAAATAAAATAGACACACCATATATATTATGAAGCCAGGAGCCTGGACCTTCTTCCAGGTCTCCCAAGTGGGTGAAGGGCCCCAAGGCTTTTGGCCATCCTTGACTGCTTTCCTAGGCTACAGGCAGGGAGCTGGATGGGAAGTGGGACTGCTGGGATTAGAACCTGCACCCATATAGGATCTTGGTGCATGCAAGGTGAGGACTTTGTCCACTAGGCTACTACACTAGTCCCGATTTCCTTATTCTCTAGAGTTGTTGAAGGTTGTAGCTTCATCACATCTTCTTTAGCTTGTTACTTCTGATTAGAGGAATATGCCCTGCAAGTAGGTTCAGGAATCTCTTCGTATCTCATCTAATCAGTCTGAAGAAATTCCAGCCAGCGTCAATGGCTGCTTCCCCTGTATTGTCATCACTGCTTTTGAGGAGTCACTGGTCTTATTTTGTCATTTGAAGCAGCATTCAAAGTCCTTGACTGGTTCACAGAGCAGGCTGATTCATCCTCCACGTGCACCTGGGCACGATCCTCTCCCTTGCACAGAAGTCAGTACGGGAGGTGGCACAACATGAACCGTGTGCTCCAATGCCAAGACACACAGCCTGGTCTCTGGTCCCTGGGATCCTGTCACATCTGAGACCAACTGGACAAGAAAGCCAGAGTTCCTTGGCAGTGCCAAAGGTTGTAAATAAGACCGAGCTTCAGGCCCCTGGCCTGGTGCAGTGGTGCACATGGGTGTCACCATCTAGAACCCATCAGAACCCTAGCCTGCTGCTCTAAGACAAGCGCAGTGGTGTGCTAAAGGTGTGGCCTGGGAGCAGTCACATTTCAAACTCACATTATCTATATGGTGCTAGTGACTACCATATTAGATGATGACACAAATATTAGGTACACATCATTCAAAGCCTATTGGCTCAGAAGTATTCCCTGGTTTTATAGCTTTGTTCTGTGTCTTACTCTGTTATTAACATAGGAGCAGCTTCTGTGGGTGCCAATTCAAGGTCTGGCTGTTTCAGTTTTGATGCAGCACTCTGCTTTTGTGCCCGGAACAACTGCAGCAGATGGCCCAAGTACTTGGGCCCCTGCCACTGATGTGGGTAACCCTATGGAGCTCCTGGTTCTTGGCTTCAGCCTGCACTAGCCCTGTCCATTGTGGCCGGTTGGGCAGTGAATCAGTAAATAGAAGATCTCTCTCTCTCCTTCTCTCTGTAACTTTTTCAATAAATAAATAAATCCTAAAAAAAAAAAAGAGGAAAAATAGTGTAGGAACAAAATTGAAGTATCAATAAGGAAATGAAAACACTGAAAAGAATAAAAAAAATAGATGTGCAGGGCCCGGCGCAATGGCGCAAGTGGTTAAGGTCCTCGCCTTGAACGCCTGGGATCCCATATGGGCGCCGGTTCTAATCCCAGCAGCCCTGCTTCCCAACCAGCTCCCTGCCTATGGCCTGGGAAAGCAGTCAAGGACAGCCCAAAGCTTTAGGACCCTGCACCCGTGTGGGAGACCCAGAAGAGGCTCCTGGCTTCGGATTGGCATAGTATCGACCGTTGCAGCCACATGGGGAGTGAATCATTGGACGGAAGATCTTCCTCTCTGTCTCTGCTCTCTGTATATCTGCCTTTCCAATAGAAATAAAATAAATCTTTAAAAAAAAAATAGATGTTCAGAAATGGTCTGAAACTAAGCAGGCAAAATAAAAAATCAGGAAATTTCAAGATAACACAATGGGAATGAGCTGGCCTGGGAAACAGAAATAGCCTGAAGTTGACAGAGGCTGCAAGACCTATGGATTTCATTAATCAGACAAACATACTTGTTGAGGAGGTTCTTGAAGGAGAAAGAACAGAAATGTTATTCAAATAAATAAAGTCTGATACTTCTTAAATTCTACCAGAGATATCATTAAAGACTCTCAACGAATTCCAAATAGGATGAGCTCAGAGACCCACAAGCAAGCTAAGAGACAAACACAAAGAGAACTTTAAAAACAGTAAATCAGTCTCACCATCTGTAATGAATACTCACTAAGATTGTCAGCAGATTTCTCATCAGAAAGTGTGAAGCCAAAGGCTCCCAAAGTGGCAAAAGTTTAAACTGAATTAAGACTTCTAAATCTAGCAAGTTTATGTTTCAAATATTAGACTGAAATTAAGACATTTCCAGGTAAACAGAATCTGAGGTGCTCCATTACCACTAGACCTGTTCTGCTAGAAATGCTAAAGGGAGTGATGCAATTCAAAATGAAGCAATGCCATTGAGTTTAAAAAGCCACATAAGAAATATAGTTTGGGGCCCAGAGCTGTAGCCTAGCAGCTAAAGTCCTTGCCTTGCATTTGCCAGGATCCCATATGGGCATCGGTACTAATCCTGGCATCCAGTTTCTGATATAGCTTCCTGCTTGTGGCCTGGGAAAGCAGATGTGAATGGCCCAAAGCCTTGGGACCCTGTACCCACATGGGAAACCCAGAAGACACTCCTGGCTCCTGACTTCAGACTAGTGCAGCTCCAATCATTGCAGTCTCTTGGGGAGTGAATCACCAGACGGAAGAACTTCCTCTCTGTCTCTTCTTCTATCTGTCTATCTACCTTTCCAATAAAAATAAATAAATCTTAAAAAAAAGTACAAATGGGATAGAGGAACTAAATTCGCCAATCAAAGCAGAGATTGACAGAATTGATATGAAAAAAGATCCAACTTTTGGCTATTGTCAAGAGACTCACTTTAAAGCAAAAATGCAAGCAAATTGAAAGTGAAAAATGGAGAAGGATATTCCATGGAAATAAATAATCAAGAGAGCAGTGGTGTACAATATGAACCAAAATGAACTAAGTCAAAAAAAATGTAGAAGACACAAAGAACACTAAATGTCAGCATAATGTTCAATGCACGAAGACATATAATGCTTATACACATTTATAATCTACTGACAAGTCATCAAAATATATAAAGCAAAAGCTCCTGGAGTTCTGCAGCAGTGAGTGGAGATCTCATCACCTCCTTTCCATAATGGACAGGACAGTCAAGAAGAACGTGTGTTAAGTAAACAGAAGACTTTAACAATTAGCCAACCAGGTCTAAAAGATACGCACAGAACACCGTACCCAACAATAGAATATTCGTGTTTTTAAGTGTACTTGGGACAATCTCCAGGGTAGATCATATATTAAGCCATAAATTAAGTCTTCATGATGTGAAAGACACGAAGCATCTCTGACCATAAAAGTGTCAAGTTAGGGAACAATAACACAAA